TAGCTATATGTGCGCCAGGCGCGTCGCAGCGTAACAGTGTTTCGTGAGATATCGCGAAGCCTGTTACGCGAGACGTGGTCTGGCGTACATATACCTAGTTTTTAAGTCCTAAAACAGCTGTTAAAGGTAGCAACTTTTTAATCGTGTATGTGTGTCGAAGCAAAACTCATCACCTGAAATCTACGGAGTCCTCTGGTAAATCCCAAAGAACTTTGGCAATATTTTTCACGAGTGTTCCTCCGTGAAATCCCAGAAATTTTTCTCACAGGGCGTCTTGCGCCCGTCCTCGGCGCTTGAAGCTTAGCTCTGAATTCGGCGTAGTTACGCGGAAGTCGCAAAATTTTGTCCGGTAGGTCGTCGAGGTGCGGCGCAATTGCCGCCGTGTATGGCATCACTGCGCTGGATTCTACGGGCTTCTTCTCTTCTTTTTTTCCAAACAACGCCATCAATTTTGGAAACTATTCTAGAGCTCTGGACAACTTATCTTGAGAAACAGATTTCAGTCCGCTCCAAAAGTGCAGCCCTACCCGGGTCGAGCTGCAGCCCGAGAGCGCACCATGTGGCCCGGCCTGGCCCGACCTGCCTTGCCTGGGCAGCGGGGGCTGCCTATTGTCTGCTAGGATGGGGCTCGGTGCGATTCGTGTCACTCACCCGCTCTAGTGCTCCAGTGGAGTGAGCACATTTTAACTCTTTAGGGAGGACATATCGTACAAATTAAGCGCCGCAGCTTGGCCGGTCGCTCCGAGACTCGAAAAATGATACCAAATTTGGACAAATCCGATAATTTTTGGTATTGTGCCAAGTCTTGTAACGATTAGGCGATGTTGAGATTCGTTTACTGAAAAAACGGTGGCACCTACGCTTAATTTACTTTTGGACAATCTGTTTAGAATTTGCCAAATATTATTTGAGTTTCTATGACTTACTACTCTATCTGTAAACGTTTAAGATATAATTACTAGCAAAGTGAGTGTTTTTTCCGATTTCCCTAGCGGATGTCCGTTTTATTAAGCTCTTTCGTTAGTGTGACAACTTGAGAACGAAACGTCCGATTAAAATGATTCAAAATACGTCATGTATTTATTTTTCACTAGTAGTTGATCGGTCAATGCCACGGGTTAAAAATTATTACAATTTCCCCTGAAAATGGACTTGTCAAAATTAAGGAAATCGAGCCGGCTGTTTTTATGGGGGGCTATTAGGCTCGCCTCCTCTCCCGGGCTCCTCAATAGACACCCTCCCGCACCCGCCTCCGCAGCCCCCGCGCGGAGACCCGCCAGTGGCTCCTGAGTGGACTGTATTTCTTTTGTTCTCCGGGTGTGAGCTCGGAGGAACTCTGTCTCAAGATAAGTTGTCCAGAGCTCTACCACTAACGGTGCGACCGCCGCCGCAATTGCCCAGATCCCACGCTTGTCCTCCGCGCGATCCTGGCTGACCCGTGGGAGAGGGGGAGGGGAGGGGCTGGGGATGGCCCGGGCCTACCTGCGCCGCCGCCCTGGATGCGACCCGGGCCTCTCGGGTCAGTCTCACGCGGGTTCCTCCAGGTGACGGACGTGTTTTGTCGCTGCAGGGCGGATTGCTCTTATGGCTCAATAACTTGAAGGCGGGAGAAGAAAGATCAACTTGTCGCCTGCAGTAATTTGGACTTTTCCCCGGTGCAGCTGGCTAACAAAATCTGTATAGTAGTTTGGGACATCGAGGAACTGCAGACAACTGATTTCAAAAAGAGTTTTTCGTGTCCTTTCTCGCGCTCCATGCGTTGTTGTCCCATGGTTTCGGCTGTTGGCACCTGCACCACCGCCACCACTGTTTATTTTCTGGTGGAGGTAAAGAAGGGTGTCGTGCTGCTAGAAGAACTTTAAGTGTGGATTCAGAGTTCACAAAACGCAAGCGTGATTTTCACGCCAAGCGTTATTTTCACACTCCGTAAGCTTCACGCAGCCAATCAGGAACCGACTTTCGTCAAGCTGGGCGTGGAAATCATGCCTGGCGTGAGAATTGCGCTTGCGTTTAGGGAACTCTGACCCACCTTTAGGTGCCGACTGCGGCTCTACACTTGAAATTTAAGAAAGAAGGAGCGAATTTCTTTCTGCTGTCCGTGTAAACGCTAAATTCCCATGGACTATTGTATTTGCATTCTTCAAAGTACCGCAGCGTATAAAATAAAGTGAAAGCGTACATACAAACAGAGCAGGGCTAGAGCAAAGGCCCAAACAACCGGACCCAAACAATCCCACCGGACCCAAACAACCGGACTCAAACAATCCCACCGGATCCATACAACCGGACCCAAAAATATGGGACTTTTTCAGGCACCCATAAGTATGGGGCTGGACCCAAATTATGAGACCGGACCCAAATCAAGAGGCCGGACCCAAATTATAGGACCGGACCCTTCTGTATGGGTGCCTGAAAAAGTCCCATATTTTTGGGTCCGGGCTATGGGTCTTTTCTGCCATGGGATGGAACCTAGTCCGTCCCCCAGGCTCGACGGACTGCCAGGCGGCAGCTCGGCCGCCAGCCCTATGCCATTCTCCCTTCCCTATATTCTATGAACTCTAACCTAATTCCGGAATATCTATAGTAATTCAATCTAGGAAATAATTCCATCAATCTACCAAACCACATTTCACTTCTCGTCCCTTTCCTGGGCTGCCTGTTCACCGACCAGCCCAAAACTGCAATCTTGCATCCGCGGGCACTGGGGCTGTGGACCAGGCCAGTACTGCTGCATCGACACATTCTCTATCTCCGCGCCGTGCTCCGCCGCGCCGTGCTCCGCCGCGCCCCGCCGCGCCAGTCGCCCGCAGCCTCTTGAGCTGGTTACACGCGTGATGTCGCCGCGCGCGCAAGTGGCTTTTCAATTCAACCTCTCAACTCTTATTTTGCTCAACTTCACGAACCTCTGGAGTGCCATCTGTGCAACAGCACATCACATCGCATCATCCTTCGCTCAGCACTGCTCTTCGCGGACTGCGCTGAAGTTAGCGTAAGCGTAGAGGCCGGACCAAGGGCGCTACGCAGCGCCATCGGTGGAGCTAACTACTATGGGCCCCTCCACCCACCCTACTCCCCAGTGCCACGCTGCGCGCGAGATTGCCCAGACAGCCCGACTTGTGCACTTACCCTCCAGTATGGTGGACTCAGCGTTCAGCGATGCGCGCCGCACTCAGCTGCACACACACAGCAGCAAGCACATTATTTCTGAGAGGAATGAAGAACTTTAAAGTTAAACATCTTCATACACAAAAAGTAAATTTTATTTTGAAATTTAATAAACCAGCTCAATTTACAAATCTTCCAAATCTTATG